CTCTGAAGCCCAACCAAATTAATTTCTTGGCTTCTGTGTATTAATTTGATCCCCAAAGTACAGAAACTTAATTTATCTTTATATTAAGTAGAAGTCCTACTCCCCCAATTGTTCTCTTTACAGTGCCTCTGTGATAAAAAAAAAATGGTTACAGAATTCTGAAATCTATTGCCCATTGCTTTTATAATCTCAGGGAGTTTCTTGCAGGCAGACAGAGTACTAGATATCCCAGTGGCAACTTGTAAGCTCTGTGTCGTTCTATCAAAAACAGCTGCCAAATCATTCGGTAGTCTCTTCAGGACATCTCTCTTATTCAGCTCAACCATGAAGGTGGCAACTTTCTCAAACTAGTCACATGAATCAGTTATTGTAGGAAGCCATAAATGTGAAGGAGAAAAAACTAGCTCAATCAGGTATAATAGCAATGTCTCCCCAGGATCTAGTTCCATTGGATAGTATGCAGGTATAAATAAAATTCTGAGTAGGACAAGGTGGAAAAGAACTTTTTTTAAAGAAGAACATACAACATCTTAAATAAAACTGAATGTAGAAGCTAAGAGGCAGCTTTTCCACAAGTATTTAGCCCTATAGATTCTCTCTCAGCATATACTTCCTGTGTAATCTTAGCAAATTAAACTCTGGAATTCAGCTTCTTCAGGCATATAAAAAGAGGCTTAAGCTAGATACTAAGTTTCTTCTAGCTATAAAATTTGTTTTCACATAACAAAGTTATTTATAAAGAGTAATTGCTAAATATACCTGTAAACGAAAACTGTCTCAGGGAAATAAGAACAGTATCTGTAAAACAACAACAAGCTAAAAAAAAAGGCCTGTATCTCTTAATTTGTTCAGATTATCAATAGTAATCAGAAATTGTACAATGAAGGTGAACTTAAAACTTTAAATGGAAATTCAGACTACAGGATTATTATGGAAGTGGTATAATATCTATCTAGTTTTGTTGATATTACTTATGAAGGATGGTGACATAGTAATGCTTTTCTTCCCTTTAGAAAATGAAGGGGAAACTTAGTTTGGAAACAATCAGTTCACACAAAGATAAGGGATAACAAAAGCAAGAAGATTAATTTTTTTTTTCTGGACAGGGCATGGGTGAGAAACAGAGATTTTTTTCATCTATATTTCACTACTATTAAAGTAAATTTCATTACTTTTAGCATACTCATGTTTTTCATGGTGTCAAATTTTGAGGTGAGTATAGCCCACATTATTAATGCCATTTTAGCTCATTGCTCCTCATTATCAGGCTTGGGAAGGTAGCAGAGTGTAATGCAGTGGTTTTCAAAAAATATTTCTCGAGCAAGCAGATCCATTATCTTTGAACAAATTACAGAACACAGAAAAGCAGAACAGCTCTGACTGCAGATGAATGGGGAAGTAGAGCCTATGCTTACTTTTTGAAACTCTGGGTCTTCCAGGATGACAGCCTGGAGACCTTTGTTTTACTGGAAAACACATGGGGTTTTGAGTTCCCTGTAACTGGGTTCAAATCTCAGCTTGCCCACTTAAAAGCTATGGGATGGTGAGAGAGTGACTTAATCTCTCTGAGATTCAATTACTTGTGTGTAAGAGACTAACAATAGTAAATAACAGTTTACAACTGTTGTATGGATAGAATTCTCAATAAATCTCAATTCACTCCTGCTTTTGCTTAAAATTAAACATAAAATCACTTGTCCCACAGTTTTAAAAAAATGGGCATAGTAGTTATCTCCAGTTAGAGGCCTCCCAAAATTCAGGTTTAGATATTTCCATTGTGTCTCAGGTGGTTTCTCCTCCCTCAGGTTATTAGTGTCAAGTTTCTTTTTGTCCCAGGGGTTCTAACTATGCCTTACTACCACCCTTATTGTATCTTGTTAAACTTAGATAAACACACACACACAAATCAGGGGTTTATTATGAAAACCCCATAATACACAGTGAATGTTCCATGGTTCTTATGTTTTTCTTTTCTAGACAAAGGGAAAAATATGCAAACTTTTAAGTTTCAAACAGAACTGTTGAAATTATTTTTTCATACTAACTTTTTTAGGAAGGTTATTAATATTTTTACTTTGGAGGCCATTCCTTTTTAAAAACCAAATTTGATTATATATTTCTCAGAACATGTCAGCAAATACAACTTTAGTTCCCTCAAAGCAAGACTTAAACGTTCTTTTTCTTCTGATATAGCTTTTATTGGCTTACTCTAATAGACTCAATGCTTAATCTTAAAGTGATGGGTCCAAGTCACAGCTCTGCCACTAAATAAGCAAGTGATTTAACTTCTCTGAGCCTATTTTCTCTTCTGTAAAATGAAAATAATGCCAGCTTCATAGGATCATTATGACAAATTGAGGTAACATACATAAAAGAATACTCACAACTATAAAGGTCAATATGATGTCTATTCTTTCCTTGCACACATATCTAGTCTGGTGCTAGGAAATATAAAAGAAAAGGTCAGTTACCAATTCCAAATATGCATGAAAGCCAAAACAAACAAAACCCTGGAAAGCAATTCAAATTCAGTGTGAGGTCAGGGACTAAACATATACCTGTCTTTGACAGTGAATTGGCATCACCAGTCTCAAAAACAGTTGCCACACCAAACTTAAAGCATAACAAAACAACCTAGTCACAGACGTGACCAACCTTGGGGTGATCTATTGACATTTTATCTACGGAACATAATCTGATTAAGAAGACAGTAATGTGACCAAGATAACCCCTCAATTAATTCTAATTTGTTCGAGGTTATAAGGATTTTTTAGTATGCTACATACATTCTTGACAAAGGAGAATACAAAAAGTGAGAATGTGTTACACAACTCTTCCATAGCATGGATAGCTTTGATTCTCATGATCAGTACTGGTTAGCTACTGTACATTAAAATTGTGCCCAGGGTGAAGCCTAGAATGCTATACCATGGCATTCTTAAAGGAAATACCCTTTACCAACATCCCAAATCCTTTGGTTCCATTTCTCTGTTCATTGAAGATTTATGATAACCTGTGACTTGGTCTTTATCTTTGGCTTTACCTGTATTTCCACCCTCCCCTTCAAAAGGAGAACCCCATTCTCCTAAATGATGAAGACTGGTAATTTTGTCAGTTATATTTACTCTTAATTAACAAATTAGCCTTTAGGTTTATAACTTGATATTTTGTGATTTGCTTAGTAGGCTTAGTATTCCAGACCTTGACTGAATTGATGAAACTTCATTTTCTAACCCTGTAAACCTAAAGATGAGCAGTTTAGCAAGATCTAATACCCCACAAGCTTCTAGGAAAACGTTATTTCAGAAATCTAAAGAACAAAACAAAATATCTTCTTTATTTTGGTAGGGGGAAACTAAAAAATATACTGAGTAAAGAACAGTATAACACAGGAGAGCATTCTGAACTTTTTGTCTGACTAAAAACATAGACTACTTAAAAACCAGCAACAGGTATACCTACTTTCGGTTGTGTTTCTGAAATGCCAAATCTTATACTACATGCAAAATCTGCAGAGCTCACTTTCTTAAGTAGAAAATGCATTGATAAAATCAGCGCTTTGGTTATTTAAATAACCATTCCAAAGATGCCTGCTTCGTAAACAGCATTTGAAATTAACTATAAAGGGCCCAACGCAAGCATTTAAAAAATATAATTGGAAGTATGAAATGGATCTGTGTTTATAGATTGCAATTTTCGAAGATAATATTTCATTTTAATGTAATACAAGATCACAGGATTTCAACTGGAAGGACGTCCTTAGAGATCATCTTGCCCAACCTGAAATTCAAATCTCGGAGTATTAGCTCGACTCCAAACCAGTCCGGACCGGAAGCCTGAATCGGGCCTACGCATCTCTTTTTAAAAGAGACAGGCGAAAACACCGGATTCCCTCTACAGTTTTTGAGCGCAAAATGAGTAGATTCTCAAGATGGGTGTAGGTACTTCTAAGAAATCATCTAGTTTGTCCCTTTGACAACTCTTCTGGTGTCCGGGGATGAAATATTTAGGTTTTGCTTCTAACATGTTGACAAGCCACAACCTTTCTCGGTTAGCATCCTGAAGCCTCACCGCACCTTCAGAAAATCGTTTTCATTTGATTTTTGGACATTCAAGCTCCCTAGAAATCGCTCCCTTTGGTGGAGCCCTGCGGCGTTCGAGAGCAGCTGCCGCAACCCCTTGGCTGCCCCAGTCCTCTCCAGGTCTCGCTGGGTGGGATTCGGCCAAGGCGGCTTGAGGCACGTGGTGACGAGGGGACCGGGGACACGATCCCCGTCCCGAGAGCCCCTTAGACCAGAAGCTACCCTACCCGACCCGACCAAACCCTCAGGCAGGCCCCTTCCTGTGAAGTTAGAGACTCGACGATCCAGCATGGATCTCAGATCATTTAACAGGGCCCTCGCCCCCCAGTTCCTCAGAGGCCCGCCTCTCCACAGGGGTCCTGTATACCCCGGGGGCAGCGACTGACGACGCTCAGAAGGCGAGAAACGGCTCCCTAAGCCGCTCGCTGGGTCCCTCTCTCCCCAGAATGCACCGGGGCCAGCAGGAAGGCCGCTCCGACCCCTAATTTTCCCGCGAATTCAGTTCAAAGAGGCGGCCGGGCCCGCGATCGGCAGCGCGCACGGGCCAACCAAGCCGCGCCTCCGCGAGAAGCGCCTCCGCGTGACTGACGGGGGAATCCGCGGGCCAACGGGCTGGGCGGCCGGGCGGCGCGCGCTCCCGCCGACCAATCAGAGCGCCGGGCGGGGGAAGTGGGCGGAGCGAGGCCAGGCTAGGGTGAGCGGTCTCTCGAGCGGAGCGGGGTTCTCAGGAGGAGACACTTTTTTTTTCCTCCCTCCTTCCCTCCTCTCCTCCTCCCTTCCCTTCCCCTCTCCTCCCCTCTCTCCTCCTTCCCCCCTCGGTCCGCCGGAGCCTGCTGGGGCGAGCGGTTGGTATTGCAGGCGCTTACTCTCCGGGGCCGCCCGGCGGGTAGCTGGCGGGGGGAGGAGGCAGGAACCGCGATGGCGCCTCAGAAGCACGGCGGTGGGGGAGGGGGCGGCTCGGGGCCCAGCGCGGGGTCCGGGGGAGGCGGCTTCGGGGGTTCGGCGGCGGTGGCGGCGGCGACGGCGTCGGGCGGCAAATCCGGTGGCGGGGGCTGTGGAGGCGGCGGCAGTTACTCGGCCTCCTCCTCCTCCTCCGCGGCGGCAGCGGCGGGGGCCGCGGTGTTACCGGTGAAGAAGCCGAAAATGGAGCACGTCCAGGCTGACCACGAGCTTTTCCTCCAGGCCTTTGAGAGTGAGTGTGTTGGAGGTTTTGAGGGCAGGAATCTCCACTCTTGCAGCGTTAGAGGGCCGGGACACTCGTGCTGGGACCCCCTTCGTCTCCTGGAGTCGGTTTGATTCGGGAGTGGAGGGCGAAATTGAGGGGGCTGTTCCGCCTTCGGGGGTTACGGCTTACGGGGGCTTTAAGTCTAGGGGCTTTGGGGGAGATAGGCTAAGGGGTCCAGGTGAGGTTCGTGCCTCCCCAAAGATTTACACGCGAGCTGAGGCTGTGGGGCCCCGCGTTAAGAGCAGGGTGCTTTTAGGTGAGGAGGTCACGGTTGAACTGTACAGTTGGATCTGCGGTACACGACTAGTTCTTGCTTTCTTTCATGCCTTACGTACTCCAGAAGTACAAGGCTGTCGGTTGAAGGTTCAGAGGAGCAAAATTAAGCCTGTGAAGAGAGGAATGCAGTAAAATCGACCAAATTGTCAGTCTGAAATGCCTTCGCAAGAACTTGGTGCTGCACGTTAACATGGCACCTTTTGATGCTCTAAACCTTTCCAATCTTTCCACCCATTTAAGGGGGACGTAAACTGAGACAGGTAGTGCTTAAGCAACTCGGTTCTCTGGACACGCTCTCGGAATTCTGTCCGTTGTGTTTGTCTTCATTTCAGAACATTTTCTGATGTCAATTTCTGTTTTTAAGGTCTGTTTCGAGGGCAAAGCTACGACTTAATTTAGGAAGGGGGCAAGGTGTCTGGAAACAAACAATAGAATTTGGAAGAAACCAGCATGACTATGAGTAACCTGCCCTGTTCTTTAATGAATATTACATCCTGGTTGTTTTCCTCTCTGCTTCGGTGTGGATGTTGTATCTGGATGATATTTAACAGCTAGATATCTTACAGAAACTTGAATAAACTCAGCTTTACCACTCAATGTCTTTATTTACAATTTTCCGTGGCATATGTTAAGGGCATGGTATCAGCTGTGCTTGGAAAGATGTATTACATTGTTTAATACCCTTCTTTCATTCTCTCTCATTAGTGCTTCATGAAATTCTAATTGAAATTTAATACAAGGAATTTCAGTTTTTATTGAAAGGAGTATTGAACCTGCTTGAGAGAGATTTACATTATTCTCGCATTTCCTTAATATAGTTTGGGAAATCTGTAGAGGCTTTCAATTGGAAATACTAAAGCACAGTGATGACAATAAACATACATGTTTGTACCCTTTCTAAAACATCTCATCTCCTTTTAGTTTATTTGAGACTAAAACTTAGCTAACTAAAAATTGAGTGGAAATTTAAAAAATTCTCTCTAAACATTATGAGAAGACAAATCCTCCAAGAAAGTTTTATCTATCTTGCTTTCTGATGAGTCTGCTTTGTAGAGATGAACTGTCATTAAGAGTTAGATTTGGAAAAAGAGATTTGGTCATAGAACAACCTGATTCTTCTCTAATATTGATCTTAGTTTCTGAGACGTGTATATGCTTTGATGTATTTACTAATATAGTCATTTTTATACTGCTTTATTTAAAGAAATATATTACTAACGTGTCATTAATGTAAATGGTATTATGGTATTTGTGTATAAAATATTTTCTATCTATAACATACATCCTTTGTAACAAGTTTTAACTAAACAACATTAAAAACATTCTGGGAATCTATTTAAAAATATGTGTTGCAATAGTATTTACATACTGAGGTAATATTTACATTGAGCAAAATAGAAACTTCCAACTATAGCTAGAAATAAATTCAATGAAAATTTTAGCTGATCTATGTTTTAGATTTCAGTACTGACTAACTTTGCTCATAACGGTATTGGGACATCTATTTAGGTAACAGTTGTATTCTGTTTGAGCTGACTACTGCACAGACTTTTGAAAAGACTAATTAAAAAGTGAACATTTCATTTTTGTTATTGGCATCAATATGGAGTTCTTTTATGGAATCCAACTATCTCATTTTAGCTACTTTTTAGAAAGAGATGGGTTATTAGTAGTTTATATTAACTCTTCAGTTCTGCATACAAATTCATTTAAAAATAGCTGCCTTAGATATGCAAGGCTTAAAAGCAAAGATTATAGAGTACCTTAAATTTAAAATAAATGTAGGTGCATTTTGTGACTGTTGTAGACTGAATGTCATTTAATGTAATTTTGCATACTAATTTTCTTGATGTAAATATTCAGTACATGATTTTCATATAGGTGATTAGTTTATATTGGTTATAACATGGGCTGGGTTGTTATTTTCTTAACAACTTAAGTAATGAGTGAATTTAGATAACATTTGGATTTTGTTTCTGTTACCTAGAACCAACGCAGATCTATAGATTTCTTCGAACACGAAATCTTATAGCGGTAAGTAATCAACAAAATTCATCAGCATTATTTTTTTCCTAGAATTTCACCTATTTAATTTGAATATTTTAACTTTTTTTATAGCCAATATTTTTGCATAGAACTCTTACTTACATGTCTCATCGAAACTCCAGAACAAACATCAAAAGGTACATTTTATGAATTTATTTCGAGTTGATCAAACCATGTTAAAATTTTGTTTTAAAGTACAATCTCTAACGAAAGGTTAAATATGAAAACTGAGGTGAAAGAGTAATTGAATTGATTGCAAAGCGACTTTTTAAAGTACCACTTTTGTAAATCCCAGTTGATTGCCAGTTTATTCCTGATAGAAATGATTTAGTAGTGAAGTAAATGAAGTGATTTTACTGACTGATGTTTTTGCTCTATGCTAATAGTTTCTTTCAAGTTTGATAGCAGTTGATTTAAATATTTACTAAATTAGGGCTCATGGGAGCTTATCTTTGATAGATAAGTTTACCAGTTAATGTCTGAGTATTTTATGTTCTAACAATAAAGAAATCTCATTTTATATTTTTGGTGGTTTTATTAAAAGGGAAATACTTTCGAAGTCAATAGGAGGAATGTCTTTAAAAACTTCTTAATCTTAATTACTTAGTCTTAAAGTGGAATCAGAGAGCTTATTTTTGCTTTTAACATTTAACCGTATATAATTATGGAATGCTAGTTTCTTGTTCTGTGCCCATGATTATTTACTGAGCATATCAAGTGAACAAAACTTTAAAGGAGAGAACCTCTACTAAGCATTTGGTATTGTTATAGTCTTGACTTAGGAAAACCATTAAGCTTTTCAGTAAACTTTGAAACTAAACTCATTTGGAGACTCCTGCTGGTTACTAAGTAAGTATCAGTGTTTTTTATGGTAAGACATAGTTTAGTTTTGTAGATCTATCTAGATGTATTTTGAAGGATTGAAATGTTAAAACCGTTTGTCTTTTTGATAATCCCTCTGGATCCAGAGAGAGAGAGCACACCCAGACAATTGTGCTCACGCCTGCACATGTATTTAACCAGTGAAAACTGTCAAATTTGTAAATAACTAGAAAGAAAATGATAGACTAGGCAGCAGGATTAAATATGTCAATTATTTACCTGTCTACTCTATGCCAGGGTTCAGGAAACTTTCTGTAAATAACTAGATGGTAAATATTTTAGGCTTTGTGGTCTAGGAAACAGAATTGAGGATATTAGGTAGTATATAGGTATTATACAAAAAAAGAAAAAACGTCAACAAATTTTTTTATTGATGAAATTCAAAATATAATGATTAAGTGCAGTGTATATATATGTATATATATATATATATATATATATATATATATATATATATATTTTTTTTTTTGCCACATGGCCTGCAGGATCTTAGTTCCCTCACCAGGGATTAAACCTAGGCTCCGGTGGTGAAAGCACTAAGCCCTAACCACTGGGCAACCAAGGAATTCCCTGCTGCAGTGTTTTATAATACATGCCTACTAGTGAGAAATGTGAAATTCTTTTATTTTTGCAAAGTGGGGTGAGGGGATAGCATTTAACATAATTGGGATTTAGAGTCCTCTATTATCAAATCACTTGGAAATGTTTATAAAAAGCATTCTGGCTTATGGGCAGTGCAAAAACAGACAGTAGGCTGGATTTGGCCAATGGTCCATAATTTGCAGACCCTTGATTTACTCTATAAAAGTAGGAAGATTTGATTAAGTAGTAAATTTTTCTTTCAATATTTTTAATATGAAAATGAGATCATCTAGAGGACTTTCCTGGTGATCCAGTGGCTAAGACTCTGTAATTGCATTGCAGGGGGGACGGGTTCAATCCTTGATCAGGGAACTAAGATCCTGGATGATGCCATGTGGCCAAAAAAAAATTTATTGCAGTTATCATCTAGAATGCTATCTGATTTTAATTTAAAGTGATTAAGTTCTTTAAAAGTAAATTTCAGTTAATCTATAAGTGGATTAAAGAGTACATCATTATTGTTCATTAGACTGTCTGTGGGATACATTTCTCTTGTCCACTAATGAGTGGAAGCCATTTTAAAAGTTTGGTAGTAGAAGTGAATTTTCTTAATTTAGTACCCCATAGGTAAAAAATTGTCTTTTGGGACAGTTTCTAAGCAGTTTGCCAGCCAAGAAACATACACTTTCCATTTAGTCTATTTTCCATGTAAAAATGCATTAGGAATCACTTTATTCTTTGTTGCATGCTTGGCCTGTATAAGACACTGACTTATTTTTAACACTTACACAACAACTTAATATCTTCAAATGAGTGCTGTCTTTTTCAAAGTAGTTAGTGAATTTGGAAGGGGACGAATTTAGCCCAGTGATTGTGCTCTTTGTTCACTGTTCTTGAAACTGCTTTTACAAAATTGCTTTTAGTACTATCCCTTTGCTCACCATGTTTTGGGAACTCCTTTTGTACCATCACAACAACATAATATTCATTGTTGGAATATACTTATCACTCCTTTTGACATGCAGGTGTAAGATTAAATCTGATATATTTGTTAAAAAGTCTTTTACTTTCGTTGCACTTCATAGAGGCATTCAAATTTTATAGGCTGACACTACCCTGGCACAGTGGAAACACTGGTGAGGAGAGAAGGGTGTCTTATTGAGCCCATTTTACTAGGTTTCATGTAAGCTGCTTCTGAATCCTCCCTCCAAAATTTCCTGAAATTTCTTGAATTTTAATAATATTCTCCGTTTTGATGACCTTATTGATAACTATATCCCTTGTTAAATCTGAGCTATAGTTAGCAGTACCTTTCTAAAAAACAGAAATACCCGTCGTGTTGGGAGGTGAGGCTGCTTTTATGTAGTTGCCTATTTGGTTTGTTTTGTTTTTCCTAAGGAATGCTGGGTTGCCTGTATGATCTAACCTATTTCAAATGGTTGTTAATATTCAGTTCTCCTATGTACAGTCTCCATAAAGGTGGAAGAGATGAACCTTGTGACCTACAGTCTTAACTTTTCTTCCTACAGACAAGGTTTCTTAATCATTACACAAAGATAAACATTTTATTCTTAAAAGTTTTCAGAAACTTTACAACCTCCTCAGTAGTACATTTCAGTATTTATACTGAAAAGTTCTTTGTAACTAGCCTAAAAGAATCATGTTTTTCTTCTTTCTTCTCTCTTATCTATGGAGGTTGAAAATGTATTGCCATCCTTCTTAAAGAACTTCTTCCTATGCTTTATAAGATGAAACTTTAATATTGAGGTTTTCAGTAACTCTAAAGGTAAAGAGAGAAGCTTTTTTTAAAAAAGACCTTTTGTTAATGGAGGCTATTTATTCACCTGAAATATAGATTATATCAATTCTATTCTTCCTATCAGTGTTTTACTATGATACATTTACATCAACATTTCTCTATTGATATTTTATTGTAGGATACAATGACTGTTTTTGAGAAATGAGCATATTAGTAATTTCTAGTATCTGAATTCAAGCTTTACAAAGTAATTAATGTAAATTTATTAAATTTGAAGGGAGTATAAGAAATATTTGTTTCCCATTAACATATATGAGTCTAGTTTTTTAGCCTCTAAAAAATGTAGATAGTAGATTACCTTAAGAACGAAGATGAGGCTTGTTTTATTTATTTATTTATTTTTGAGGCTTGTTTTAGAATCCATTTGTTCTTAAATTGCTTACTGAGGGTGTGGTTATTAATTTAAGTTTCTATTTTGTGGAAAACTACTTTTTTCTCTTAAACTTGTTAAGTTAAAAAGCTGATGGTTTTGTTATGATTTGATGGTATGTCCTTTAAACTTCAAAGATTTTTTCATGATGGTGACAACCATCTCTTTAAAATGACATATTAAACTTTAGCCATTGTTGCTTATCTTTGAGGGTGTTTTTACTACATATGTTTTATGGAATATCTGGATTTGTCAGGTTACTTAATAGAAATATGAATGTTTCAAAGTATTCATAATTTGCATTTGTTTGGCTCAGGCTGACAGATGCTTGGCACCTACCAAGATTAAGGCAACATGCCAAGCACCGTGTGGCTTTCCTTGAAGAAGACAAATCTCTGCCCTTTAGGAACTTATAATCTAATAGAAATAAAATATTTATTCAGGTTTCACATTTAGGAGACTAAATGTCAAAATAAATATAAACCAAGTGCTATAGGTAGGGAGAAATCCCTCTAGTTTCGGATTAATTACCCAAGGTTTCATGGAAAAGTTAGCCTTTGAAATGGGACTTGAAGGCTTGTTTGCTATATTATAATATACACTCTCTCAATAGTATTCATTGTTACGGCTAACCATCCATAATTTATCTTATTAAAAATAAAAATCACATACCCAGTTTGCCTATTATAGTGACAATAAAGTATAATCTGTTTGTTTTTCCCAGTTGAGAAGTGATTATTTTGTTTATCTGTTTCTTCCAGGAAAACATTTAAAGTTGATGATATGTTATCAAAAGTAGAGAAAATGAAAGGAGAGCAAGAATCTCATAGGTAAGATAACCTATCAGTTTACATTAAGTGACAAACTTGAGGAAAACAGAAAGAGCACAGTGATCATTTTCATTGTGATCACCTCAGTATTGTAAGGAGTTAGAGCAAATTTGGAGGTCATCTGATCCAGACTCACACACAAATCAGGGATTACTTCTGTAGCATCACTGCAGAGACTCCATTCTTAAGCCTTATCTTGAATATCTCCAGTGCTGGAAACTCACTGTTTTCTAAGGCAGTTCTGTTCATTATTATTTTTCTCTACTACAATTTCTTGCATTTTGAATCAAAGTTTCTGTAACTTCTGCAGTTAGTATTAATCCTGCTACCTCATCTGAAGAAAGATGGAGGCTCATGTTTATGGTATACTCAGCTGTACTCGAGGTGCTGTGCCAAGTGCTTCACACGATCACATCTTTTCTAAGGAATCATCTACAGTTCTGAGAGGCATTTTTTTTCCCTTTCTCATCCTTCCTCTTATTGACGTCCTTCAGACAAAATATTCTTAACTGTAGTTTATATTTGAAATGTGTTTATCACATGATAGTTTCAGAAACCTGGCCTTTAGGACAGAACCTTAATGTGTGTTTTCAAATATGATTCCCAGAATTAATCCCTAAATGTTCCCAGTAGCTTAATATCTCCCTAGGCTAGACAGATGCTTCCAATCCTAGACAGTAGGCATCTACTTACTCTTTGATAAGTAAAGAAAGTTGAGTATTATTCTGAAGAGAAACAGGGACTTGGGTGGTATTTGTTTGTTCATTGACTACTTTTAGGGGAGAATGTAGAACTAAAAATACTAGATTTTTAAACAAATGGAATTGAGAAAACTGCCACATGGATTTTTCTTTTTCTCTTAAAGTTTTAAATCATACCATACCAATTTAGATAGGATGTACATTAACTTAATGATGCTTTATTTATAGTATCTCATTTTTGTGACTAAGAGATGTCATTTTTGTAACTGCTTTTAAGTTTGCCTTTTCAGTTTGGTTATTATTTGAATTTTTTTTTTAATCTCATTTAAAAAATGTTTGCAGACTTGTAGGACTGCAGCGTAATTTTTATTTCCATATCTAGGCAGTCTTGATTTGTAAATAAAACTTTGATGGTTCATTCCAGAAGCTGAGATCCCAAATCTTTACCTAATCAATTACTGCCCAAGGAATACCTTACAGTATTGATTTATATAGACTGAAAATATGCTCAGTGCATGCACCCTCTATCCTTTGCTTGAATTTCTATTCCAAATCCTCGTCTGTTCATCTGCCCTGGAAAGAGCTTTTGGGACCCTCTGGGCCTTTTGTAGTTAAAGTGTGAAGCTGTACTCAGAGCCTGACCACACATCCTCTCTTTTCTCCCAAACACCTAATAGTTTGCCCTCAGGTCTTCTGAGGCTTGGGTAAGAAGGAAGAGTGAAAACAAAAAGAAGAAAACTTGACTGTTTCTTCATCTCCCCCATCAAGGTTCTACCTTCATCACTGCTAAGCATGACTACTATCTCATTGTGACCTTGGCTTTGATAAATATTACAGGACTTCTCTTAGAGTGTGTGTTGTGAGGAAGATAGATTATTATACTGATACTCACCAAATAATTATATTCCTTTTGATCCAATGAGTTTAACAACTTTGCCAGTACTGTAACAGAGTATTGTTGACCAACTCACAGAAACTTCAGAGAGTTGCATAGAATTCCTGCTTGTAATTTTGAAAATAGTCTAGGATCTAACTGGGACCAGTGAGTTGGTCATTTCAGCTCCCCAAGATCTTTTTAAACAGACCTAACTGTGTTGGAGCTGACCATGCTTACTTAATACTCAGCAAGGCTCTTTAGGCCCATGAGGTATTGAATTACTGTACTAGATGTTCCACCCCCTTGCCACACACACACTCCATCTTTATGAATGTCTCATTGTTGCTCCCAGAGTCACTAAAATTAACTGAGAAATTGGTTCATTTTAAGTTTACCCACAAGGCCCTATGTTATTAAATTCCTTCAATGTATTTCGCATCTCGAATTAGGCATAATCCTGCCGTTCTACTAAACTTTATCACATAGGATTGTAAGTTCCCTAGACAGCAGTATATAATGTCAGCACTATAAAACCTTGCTTGCAAGATCTATTGTCAAATTCTCTTATGGGAGAACAAGGTAAATCTTTGTTGTTCCATGAAATTAATTAGTAGACATTAAAATCTTAAATCATATACAAATAAAGTATCTCCCTTCTATATTTTTATTCTGTACTATCTTAAAGCTCTTACTCAGTTTAATTGGATCCTGGGTTTGTTCAGTAGCTATAGTTGGGATATATTCCATTGGAACTCATGTTCTTTCAGTACTTCAACAGTCTTAATGTCTCCACTGTCAAACCCAATGCATTTCATTCCCCAAATGAAAAGTTCCAGGAGACTGTTGAGATACCCCAAACACTACAAGCCCTGCAAGTACTGCAGCCCAAAGGTTGCAACAGTCAAATGCCTGATCTATTTATCACAGTTGTAGAGACTTAAAACCAAATTCCTGGCATTATCTGTGCAAAATGAAGTTGGTGTTGAAGGATCTTTTTTGTCTTTTATGCTTTAACTCTACAGTTATCTTACTTGTCACAGATAATGGCAGAAATTTATTAGGGGAGAAACTGATAGAAAAAAAGAAACATGGCACATTTCATGGTTTTCACTTCTTTAAGGTATCAGTCAGTTTGTGACAATAGATCAGGGTTGCATTTGTCACCTTAAAACTCAATAGTAACACCCACAGACTGTGAAGATTATTTCTCTTCTTGTACAATGGCTTCTGCAGACTCCGCAGCCAAGTTTAGAAATTCATGGTCATCACATCGCTAGTCTCTGTTTTTCCCTGATCTTCTCTTCTTGCTCTTCTGGTGTGGTTATGTATATTTAAAACGTCTTTCTTTTTAGAATTTATGGTATAATACTTTATGTCCTATCCTCTCCATCTCTTGTTTCTGATTTGCCGGTATATTGTGGATTTTGAATTTATTTTGAGCTTTGACCAAGTACTATGGTTCATTGGTATAAATCTCTGATCTTTCTGTAGTTTTCTGTTTTAGCAGGATCCCAGGGGGTCTCTTGGGCTATTCATCCTACCAGTTTGGGAATTCTCTAGTCACAACTCCTGACTTCTAAGTGCATCTCCACTGACTGAAAGGTAGCATGAAAAGATTTCCAACTTGCAGTTGCTTCCAGAAATATTTCCTGTGGTCAAATAAGAAACATTTCCACTTAATCATTTTCCATTCCTGGTCCTGTTAGTAGCTGGAGAAATTCCTTCCAAAGATAACTGAAGTAGAACATCTACTAGGTATATTTTCAAGCCTGTGTTTTTAGTAGGTTGAAAAGGTAAAGTGCCTTTCATCACTTTATGTTGTTGTTATTACAGCCTAAACTTTTGAGTTAGTAATCTTCCTTTTCTTATCATCTTTTTGTACTGTAACAAAATTTGGATTCTTTTTTTTTCTGGGATTCCCATTTCCTTCATGTACGATGTCCCAAACACTTTACTAAGACCTAGTGGATATAATGGTGAGCAAAACGGATGAAGACCTTGCCTTTCTGGAGTTTATCAGCATTTAGGGAAAAAAAGCATAATTGTATAATAATTATAAGTGCTGGGAAGTAAAAGTATACACATAGGGAAACTATGGCTGTATGAGGCAGAATCAGCTCTTGTTTAAGAGTCTAATTTGGCAATAGAAATGTTCAATGAGGGCTTCCATGAAGGAAGAAGCTAAGATTTGAAACATGAATATAGGAGTAAAATGAGGATAGAGGGTGAGCAGGTAGATGATTCTAGATAAAGGGAACATAAAATCATTTGAGGGCAGTGTAGCTGACTAGAGAGAACCTGACATTTGACGAGACTAGAGCAGATGGCCATGACCAGATAATGCAGAACCTTTTAGGCTATTTAAGGTTGCTGGTCTTTATCCTAAGAAAGCTGTAAATTATTTAAAATAGATATATTGCATTAATGGTGTTACTCTAGCCACCTCTTTTGTAGGTTTAGCTGCATTTTTAAAACTTCAAGCTGCTGCTTAAGTTGATTATGTCTTTTTCCACCATAATAGGATCTGATATCTTCCTCCCCTTTCTCTCTCTCTCTCTTTTTTTTTTTTACCAATTCTTTCTTGATTGTAAGTTTTGATGTTGTTTTCATATCAACATCTTTTCAGACTTAAGTTTTAATTGTTCCTTTTTTAGAATCTGGGCTGTAAATTCTGTACATACGTACTTCTGAAGGTGCCTTATCATTCACCACTAATCATATATGATTCTTAAAATCTAGGTATTTGAGAACAGATTTTTCCCCAAAAACAATCATATCTTTATTGACTTTTTCTGAATACAGCGGCTGTTTTTTTACTTGAGTCTTAAGGAAAATAAACATCTTTTAGAAACAGCTTGATACAGTTTACAGTGTGAAGCAATATACTAATAAGAAATGCTAGTCTTAATGTTTACATCATAACATTAAATGTAACTTAGCTTATCATCACACTGGACCTTTTTTGAGGTCATATAGCCATGACTCTAGAAATGAAGTCTTAAACCTGCCACTGTCAGATTAATGTGTATAAATTTGAGGCACTAATCTTGGTTTCTTTCCTGCATAAAAATGTTGGTCCTTCTGTGGGATCTGTCTACTCCTAAAATTTGAGTTTCCTACATGAATCTCATCTCAAAATATTCATCTCAAAAAAAAATATTTGTCTCATGAATTTAATTAACCTTATTCTGCAGACTGCTTTACAATTGTCAGATACTTGTCAATTACTTGTGCTTAAAATCTTACCCCAAAATTTCACATTCCCCCTCTAGTTTCCTGTTGCCATATTGCTTTCTTCCTAAGAAGATGAAAATAGGGAACACATCACGAAGATGAACCAGATCCTTATCTGATATCTTATTCTGATCATCTAAGCTGGATTCTGTGCTGCCTAAGACCAGATAGGCTTGACCAGGCCTACATGTTTCTTTCTTCCTTCCTCTGATCCAGCTTAACCAATTAAGATGTAGACACAGCAGCCCCAGGAGAGGGAAAAGGGTGAATCAGAAAGGGAGAGAAAACTGTCCTCTTTCCTTGGACTAAACCACCCGTGAAAGGGATCAACTCGCCTCATTGTCACATTGTATTCTAGGTACATATTAGAGTGTTTACTTTTAGGAGAGTGGTTTCCCCTAAAAGTGCTTGCTTTTAGGGGAAATTATGCATAGCAAATCACATTCCCAAATTTATTTTTTAAGCTGGTTAATTTAAATTTGGAATTCCTTTTCTCAAACAATGTTATATGGCAGCTGAATGGATCTGCCATCTCATTTAATTTGTAATGTACCGTTTAAAACTGTGCCTCAAACCATCCTGTGGTGACCTTTTTGTTAGTTTTTAATTTCCAATCTTTTGTATATGGATACTTTTGTAAAATATATTGATCACATACTTGGATGTCATGGCAATGCTAAGTTTCTGTAAAAATGGTTAAAGTCTAATTCTCAATGTCTTGCCTTGTGGAATGGTAACAGTTTCTCCAATGATCTCAGTGGGTAGACCAGGTTTTGAATAACACTAATATAAAGTGTTTTCTGGGGTAGATCAATGCAAGGTATTTTTGTTGTTTCACAGTTGGAACCTAGGATGGAACCTCCTACAAACACAGTGTAAATAATTTTAGAAGTAGCACAGCATAATGGGTCCTGATCCCTGACCTTGGAGCCTTACAGCTCTAGGGAGGGCAGCATGGTCCTTTTGAGAACCGTTTGCTGAGTGCTCTCTGTAAGACACTGCTGGATACACTGCAATGTGTGTGAGAAAACTCTGACACAAAGTGGTAAACACAGGTGACTGTAAAGGAAATTAAGCTCTGGGATGATTGGGGATGGGTCTTTGTAGAAGGGGAAGCACCTATTTTGATGGATTCTTTAGTATTTTACCCATGCCTCCCAATCTTCATTTTATAGATACTAGGTCACAGCTAATAACTGGAGCCAGAATTCAAAGTTGGATTTGTGTCTATTTTATCATTCTATTCTACTTTCTTATATGAGGCTTTAGTAGTGCTAAAAAGAAATAGGAACCATATCACAGACAGCACTTAGACAAAAGGTTTGGCAGTTGGGGACCCATTAGAAAATTGGAGAAAGAAATGATTCATTTAAAATGATGTTTTACGAAAATTAACCTGGCCTTTAGTATGTAGGTTTAACTGAAACAACTAAGAATAGGATAGGCTGGTTGTGACTGACAAATTATCTTATAACATGTGGAAACTGTGGAATATTTCTCTTCGTTTCTCAGTTTTATTTTGGAGTTTAACCCGTTCTGCATTATAAGGTTTCGTTTATGGAACAATTTTTTATAGAAAAATGCTACTTATCTTTTAGTAAAATGGCTTGTAGAGTTTATAGATGGTATATATACTTTTTAAAAATCAACTTGATATATAATTAATATTCAGTATAATACACTCACCTTAAGTATATAGTTTGAGTTTCGACAAATGTATACATTTGTGTAACCATAACGACAGTTAAGATATAGAACATTTTCATCACTTTGGAAAAAGTCCTTTGAGCTTATTTACAGTTTATCCTTTTAATGTACTTAAAAAAATTTTTCTTGATACTTAAGTTACAGTTACTAATTTTTCCTTTATGCTAACCCTGCTTGAACCCTTATACTTCATAGTCATTTTGTTAGTCTGTTGATATCCTAGCTTACTTTTCTTAGTACCGTTCTAGAAATGCCCTTCAGAACTCCCACCCTGTAGTTTTTTAGCATACACTTTCATGGATTATCTCACTAGAAAATAGAGACATCCTCACATCTTCTTTTGAAATATCTCACTTAACCTCCTATTGCTCTAAGACTTAGCGTTCTGGGCACAGTTATAAAACTAACCTGTTAGTAATATGTCCTCATTTCTAACCATTGCTTGTTCCTCAGTGCTCTCTTACCGCAGTCTTTATATAACTGTTCCCCTCTGGTTATATGAATGCATAGATTGTCACCATCATTTTAAAAAGGTACCCTTTATTGAACCATATTGTGCTTTTACTGTTTTACTTATACTAGTAAATTTCTTGAATAAGGGTTCAGTACTGCTTCCCTTTTCCCAACATCTGTTCTCTGTAGCCCTCTATAATCTGGTGTCTGTATCACGTGACAGAAACTGTTCTGTAAAGTTATGAATGGCTCCCAATTTAAAGATAGATTGCCCTTTTCCAGTTTAAAGCTACTACAAAAGCCTGTTGATGTTTTCATTTATCCCAACTTAATAGTTTTTCCATCGTTAGTAGACAGTTTTCTAAACAAAAGGGTCATTATAGTTTATGCTTCCTTTTCATTGCTTCTGAAACTAAAAGTGAAAATGACATGTTGAATAGTAAGTAACAAATCGATAGCATATTTGTGATTGTGTATTTCATCCCTCATTAAAGTAGAAAGTGATGGTTCTACAACATTTGTTAAGGAGGTTGAAATTCTGTAGCTTGAAAATACTAAAAACACTTTTGAATATTGAATAGCATGGATTCAGCTATTGTTTAGAGGGATGGGAAGGGAAATCTGTCCCTGTTTTACAGGTAGAACACTAAAGCACTATAAATTATCTTGCCTCTTATTTGGTGGTCTCTTTCTGCCTTGCTTCTTTGGTGTTTTTTGTTTCTATTTGTGTGGTGTGTGTATTTCAGTGTGTACAGACCCACTGTTTTGGATGTCATACTTAAGACGGAAAGCATGGAGTCAGTGGGCTTGAATAGAGTTAAGAATTAGACCACAAAATATTTATAAATTAGCTGAAGTAGCTTTGATTTCAGTATTATATTTAAAGTCTAAGTTATTTTTGTTATAGCATATTAAAGTGGTAAAATTTTTTGTTTGTTCTGTTTAGCTTGTCAGCTCATCTGCAGCTTACATTTACTGGTTTCTTCCACAAAAATGGTATGTATTTAAAAGTAAACTTACTGGCAGTCTACAGCAGCACTCCTTTGTGAATGCATAAAAACCCCACAAAACTGTAAATTTGTAAAATTATATTTAATGTAAAAGATGTTGATTCTGATGATTTGATTTTTCTTTAGTGGATTTCCCCAGCAATTTCAGTTATTGCTTTTGTGGTCAATAGTGGAATATGGAGGATGTAACTTATAACTCATTAAACTTTAAAAGTAGTGGTTCTTAAGTCTTAGTCTGTGTGGAAACATTTTGACAGTTTGTTTGAAATACTGTGTACCTGGACCCTCTAAGGCCTCAGATCTAGTAGGGTTTTGGTGGAGTTTAGGAGTCTGTATTTTAACAAGGCATGAAGGTAATTTAGAAATAGGGTGTCTGAGAAACAGGTTTTAAGAAACTACTTTATTAAATAAAGAATGTGTATAACTGAGTCACTTTCCTGTACATCAGAGGTTTGCACAACATTGTAAATCAATTATACTGTTATAGAAATAAATAAAAAACTCTTAAAAGCTTTTAAAAATTGTAGGTCAACCTTATACATACATAAGATTGTGCTCAGCACCTGGTTTCCTTAGAGCTTTCTTGCTGTCCATTTAAGTTATGAGTGGATTTTTAAATTGTTAAAATAATCAGTGTTTTGTGGGATCATTCTTCAAGGTAAACATTAGCTTATCTAAATAGATGAAATTCCACCTCTTAAAACTCAATCATACCTTTTAGGGCTCCAAATATTGTGGTTAAAAAAAACTGTATAACATTATCTTACCCAACTCAGAGCCCTCATCCTTCCAAAGATCGCCAGTAGAAAATATGGAAAAGACTTAATAAAATGAAATTTCTTAGATTTTGTCATTTTTTATTTACACCGTTTTTCAAACTTTAAATTATAAAGATGGTGAGGATTTTAATTAATTGCCTCAGAACCTAGAATAGGGATAAACATTTTGAATTTTTTTTTTTAATGACATTTTATGGAAAAACCCAAGCAAATTTTGTGGCCATCCCAGTACAGAGATAAAACAATTGAAACGAGCACTGCTAACCAATGGGATGTAAAAGGAAAATTATATAGTCTTGAATGTTTCTTCATTAAAAAAAGGTGAAAGCATACTAGGAAAAGTTTCAGTTGGTTTCAAAATGGATAAAATGCCTCTGGGCTTGTCCATCTTAAATTTGTGTATGTATCCTTTAATATAATCATGCAATGGAATAAAATCTTTATAAGAAACAGGTCAAGTTGTTCATCCTTGGTATTGTTTAGTAAGAAAAAAAGTGTAATAATAAATAGAATGGTTATATTAGAACAGTTTGATAACTAGTCAAGTTTTTAATGTAAGAAATTTGAAGTCTGGTCATATCTGTCCTATTAGTCTGGTCATATTAGCAGCTAATGTAACTTTAGTTTTGCCTTAGACCTGGTCTATTTTTTTTATAGAAGTAACCTGAGTGGCATTTTCATGTTTTTTCTCCTAAATCATTTATAATCATCTCGTTAAGTTATTTCTAAACATTGATTGTATTTGATCTCCTGTGGTACTTAAAAAATACATGAATTCTAATACTTTAGAAGCTCATAATTTGAATTTTATAGGTTTGTTAGCCCTTTGTTCTCAGGTACTTCTACAAACATAAATTACTCATCACTGAAATTATTGATGGATATTAATTGAATACTATTTACTAACATCATATAATTAACAGTAATTTACTTGAATTAATTAGTTGAAATAAACTGGCACATGGTATGGTAAATTTTTTTCCTATCTACATGACAGAAAAATTCAAAAATTGCTCAAATTCACTTAAAGTTTTTGTTTTTCTTGATATTACTGGAATAAATGAGAAAGTAAACTGTCAATACTTCTATTTCCAGAAAGTAATTTCTCATTAGAACTTTGAAATTAGTGGAAGTTGGAAAGAAGCAGATATATTGCCTCTCTTGTCTATTCAAGGTATATTTGTAGTTTTTTTAAGAAATAATATTTTTAAGAAACCAGGATAGAAAGATCAAGATCCCTAAAATATTATTTTTTCTTTTGTTTTTGAATGAATACTTGTTTAGCAGTTACTATTTATAACTGCTTAGAATGAATACACAGATTAGGGTACTATTTTCATGGTGAGTATTGTTCAGAGAGTATTTTTGTTATTGCATTTTGGACATTTGGATATTTTGGGTATGTTAAATTATCTTTATCCTGAATACAGCTTTCAAGAGACTGATTGAAATGTATTTTATGTATATGCCCTGAGTAAGAAAAATGTTTATAAGCAGAAAAAGTGTTGCCTAAAATTTAAGAACAAAGATTATTTCTTTGTATATGGATTCATCTATAACATATATATGTGTGTATTACTCATCTATAACATATATATGTGTCTGTATACATATATATAACATAGTAGTTCTGTATATTGTTGAAACTTAATGATAAATGAATGATAAAATATTTAAGGTTTTGGACTATTAGTGCCTTTGGGATTAAAGACAAGTTGTAGGGAAGTATTCTGGAACCTTAATTTGCAGAAGCCTTTTTTTAAAGTTCATTGACAAAGAGACTATATACTATCACTTTAAAATTAAGATTCCTAAACTCTAAACCAAGAGATTCTCCTAGGTAGTAAATAATATCTTGATTTTTGCTATCCCATTTAGGCTTTAAAGAAATTCTGGGGGAGGGAGGGGGGTTCATGGTGAGGAACAGATGTATACCCATGGCTGATTCATGTCAATGTATGGCAAAAGCCACTACAATATTGTAAAGTAATTAGCCTCCAATTAAGATAAATTAATTAATTTAAAAATTTTTGTAATAAATGCGGAATGAATCTGAAAAAAAAAGATTCTGGGGGAAAGGTAAAAAAATAGCTCGTTTTCTTGTGAAATGATAATATGTTTATATTATTACTATTTTTAATAATTTTATTTTTTGAATATTTTTATTTGAATTTTTTATTTTAATATTTTTTGAAATCCTTTTTTTTTAATCCTTTCGGTTACAAGTTTTGATCAAATCAGAGAGCCTTTTAGTTTAGACATCTGAGCATTCAAAATGAAATGAAAGATAGTAACCAATTCAATTTAAACATATCTTAAACTAGGAAATTTTTCTAATAGATTTTGGGAGAAAGAAAAAAAATGTTTATTTTGTGTCTTAGCTCTCCTGAATTATTTCATTTATGCTTTCTACTAAGAAGTTTTAACTATATTTGTTAAATTTGGAACTGATTTTGGGGAAAAGGAATGAGTAAACTTCTGAGAAGACTTCATTATAGAAAGTCTTTGTTTGAAATTCTCAGACGTCTTAGGAAAATGAGTACTATTTTTTAAAACAGATTTTGAAGTATTGTTTCTCTATTTAGATAAACCATCACAAAATTCAGAAAATGAACAAAATTCTGTCACCCTGGAAGTCCTGCTTGTGAAAGTTTGCCACAAAAAAAGAAAGGTGATGTATAAAATGATACTGGTGGATTAAATGGAATAATTTTTTTCATTAAATATGTTTATGCAAATATATATGTTTTTAAACCATGTGGTGGTGGTTTAGTCGCTAAACCATGTCTGACTCTTGCGACCCCATGGACTGAAGCTCGCCAGGCTCTTCTGTTCATGGGATCTCCCATGCAACAATACTGGAGTGGGTTGCCATTTCCTTCTCCAGGGGATCTTCCCGACCCCAGGATCGAACCCAAGTTTCCTACATTGGCAGATGGATTCTTTACCACTGAGCCATCAGGAAAGCACTTTTAAACCTTAAAAGCTTTAAAATATGTTGATGGCTGAATTGTAAAATTGATAACCTCTTTTGCCAACCTTCCATGTCTTTAAGTTTTTCTAATCTGACTGTAGGTATCTGCATAAAACTTTGTTACAGAAGTATGACAGTGTGGGGGAAGAAGCCAATTTTTTAGCATCTTAGGACATAAATTCAGTTGCTTCCTGCTACTCTAATCTCTTAGCTTGTTTGTTTTTTTTTTTTTTAACTTTAGCTATTTAAACACACTGGTGTTTTAAATAAGGGCTAAGAAAGAGTTTTTCCCTAAAGGATTATCTTGTACCAGTACTTTCAGGCAAAGAAATTCTGCTGCTAGCATTATCAGTCATTAACTTGTTAATATATTGCTTGAAATTTTTATTTACAACATGAAATCATTTTACCATAGAAACAAGTATTATGCTGGTTAAATTTCCTGGGCAACCCACCAAAGCCAGTAGGTTTATTTTTTAGTAGCCTTGGAAATCCTTGGGTGTTTTAAGAATAGGAGGGACTTCCCTGGCATTCCAGAAATTTAGGATACTTTCACTGCTGGGAGCATGGGTTCTATCCCTGGTTGAGGAGCTAAAAGCCCACAAGCTGTGGGGCAAGCCCCCCAAAAGGAATGAGAATGATCTGTATAGAGGTCCCTATTTCTAATTCTCTTCCAAAATCATAGTAAGATGATATGGTAAACACTGTGCTGGAGATACGGAGTAGACCAAAGTGATGGGAGATGGCAGTATAAGTGTATATTAAAAACGCTCAAGTTAATTAATAATACTCTCTAGTCCCCCAAGCCCCACACACAGTTAGTAGTAATGTGAAAATTCTTCAAGGTATATTATTGTTTAGGCAAAAAAAGAAATGACTATAACTATAGTATGATCCTTCTTGTGTTAAGAAAAGGCATAAATATTTTCTTCAAAGGATATGCACAGCCACTTGCTAATATTAGTCATCTCTAGAGTGTAGGAACTGGGGTGACGGAGACATATTTTTCCCGTTTTAACCCTTGTAGAACAGAATTTTAAGACTGTAGGCATGTATTCTGTTTGTTTTGAAACAGAAGCTACCTAAAATAACATATTGTATTTTCTTCTTATAAAGGTCTTCTGCATCTTGCAATTTTTTGGCTTTGCTCTTTCACCATAGCCCTAGTTAATATAACTACAGAACATTACTCATAAGATACAGCACATTACTCATAAGATGATTAGTATTACTTCTTATAGACAATATATTTCAATATATGGATTTACTGTTTCTTAAGGTTGTTGTCAGTAGGGTTATTGTAATCATCTTTTTTCATTTCTAATGATCCTATTCGTTATTTTGTTAGAAATAGAATATTTAAGGGAAAAGAGTAGTTTACATGAGTTGTAATACTTAAGCATGGTTTTAGTTCTATATTTCTAACTTAATGCTTTAAGATGACCATCGGCTAAATATAAGATACATTTTATCATTATTTTCATTATATTGAGGAAGTCCTCAATTGTGTTAACATTTGAAAATAGTTGATTGATATTTTCTGTGCGCTTCATCACAATTTTCAGACCTTTGTTTAGAATCTTAGCATGCCGTTTGGAAATCATGCCCTAAACCGTACTTCCTATAGCTGTGATTAGAGGTTTTATTATCATTCTTATCATTGCATATACATAAATAAATATAATCTTTGCCTTTGCAGGATGTAAGTTGTCCGATAAGGCAAGTTCCTACAGGTAAAAAGCAGGTGCCTTTGAATCCTGACCTCAATCAAACAAAACCTGGAAACTTCCCATCCCTTGCAGTTTCCAGTAATGAATTTGAACCTAGTAACAGCCATATGGTGAAGTCTTACTCATTGCTATTTAGAGTGACTCGTCCAGGAAGAAGAGAATATAATGGGATGATTAATGGAGAAACCAATGAGAATATTGGTAATTTTTATTTTAATAATTTTACTAGATTTTATTGTTGGAGATTAAGATGAACTGTAAAAATGATTGAAGTAGTACATCTTCATAGTATTCATAATTGTGTACAAAATATTTCTTTTTTAGTTATTTTAATAATTATTTAGAGGGAAAAATGATCCAGAACTAGAATTTATTGCATGTGCTCTAACAACATGGCCTTTATTAGGAAATCTCTAATGAAATAATTAATTTTATGGTAGGTTGGCCTGGCGCTTACACTATTAGTTGTTGTGCTGTACTAGGTATTTAATTTGTAAAATTTTCATTATTGTATGGTGAAGCATTTCATGTAGTAAAAAAATATATATGTATATATTGAACACTGGATGGAAAAGACTGGTATTTAAATTAGTCTCTGAGCAAATAATTCATCCCTTCCCCCAGCATGTGAAGAATTTCATACATACAGAACATTCAGAATTTGGTAGTGAATGACTATTTATCTACCACTTAGATTCTACAATTAACATTTTATTATACTTACCACATATCTATCTTTCTATCCTCCACACTGTTCTGAATCCACCTTTGAGGTAACTATTCATATAACATATAGGTGCTCAGGACACAAAGATGATTAAGAAATCCAGTCCCATCTTCTGAAGGCTCGTAACCTAGAATACAGAGATAAACATAAAATATAATTGCAGCTAAATGATCTATGGTATAATAGAGGTATTTTTGACAGTTAGTGGAGAACTACCTTGACAAAAATAGTCTTTGAGTCTTGAGGCATTCTTTGAAGTTCTTGGAAAGTAACCATGAAAGAGGAGGAATTTTTTCTCCTTGCCTAGCAGGGAAGATCATTCTGAATAGAAACTAACGTCTGCAAAAATGTGGGGTTAATAATGTCAATGAATATTAAAAAGTAAGAACATACACATAAGGTAAAAACATAAAATTGAAGGGTGTAAGTCTGGGTATTACAACTTCCTGTACCTCATTTGGGATAGAGTGTATGTTATGTGAAGGGTCCAAATGTCATAAATACGGTGTATTTGCTTGAATATTTGATTCATGAGTCATGTTTATCAAATTCAGATGTCAATGAAGAACTTCCAGCTAGAAGAAAACGAAATCGTGAAGATGGGGAAAAAACGTTTGTTGCACAAATGACAGTATTTGATAAAAACAGGTAATGTTGATGGACAGGCAAGGCTCCCATGTTTTAGAAATGTTTTTATTTTGAAGCAGAATATAGTGGTGATACTGTTTCTTTGCCTTTCTCTTCTTATGGATGAAAAAACAAATTTGCAATTACTAAACTTTTCTCTTTATCATATAGAAAGCAATAAACACAGATGAGTTGTTTGAATGTTCAGTTAAGATTGTTTATTCAGCAGGTATTTTCTCAGTGTCTACTTTTTTGTTAGACACTGTTTTCACCCATGAGGAGGCAGCAAAACCCCTGCCCTCATGGAGCTTAAATTCTAGTAGAGGAAACAGGTACACTCCCCAAAATTATATCAGCTAATATACTTAGAATGCTGTGAAGAAAAATAGAGAATAAGTGGTGGTTTTATAGAGAAAGCCTCTGGGAGAAGGTCATATTTGAGCAGAGACCTGAATGAAGTGGGCTTCATGCAAATATTGAGATTATGTATTTACCTAAAGTTAAGGAAGAAAATTTTGTGTTATCATCATTGTGTGGCTCTGTGTGCATTTGACACAGAGTAGGAAGGGACACTTGGATTTATAATCATTTCTGCAGTTTTCACTTGGGAATTAAGCACCTTAGTGCCAGTGAAGAACCTTTGGGAAGCAAATGCAGTATTCTTTTTTGATACGATTAGAGGATGAAACCTGGAATATGCCATGATTTCTTGTCCTGAGGTGCTCACTGGTAGTGAACACAGTTCACTGTCAGTCAGGGATAGGAGAAAGCCAAGCCAACTAGTGTGTTTTTCATGCTCTTTAAAAAGTAGATTTTTGCCTTGATATAATCCGCTTACTAGCCACCAGGGTAAAGAAAGGTTCGGGGCTTTTAATGGGAAAGCAAAGGTGATTAGGAATAGTGACATTGATTTTGCTACCATATTGTCTTTGAATCTGTCACTTAATGTCAGTGACATTATTTTCTCTAAAGTCAGAAATTTGAAAGGGGTTATGTCTGTGGGAAAAGCAATTAGGATGTCATACACTGGACTTCGTCAGTGTTAGTAAATGTTCTATTTTAGGCAGTGTGGGAGGAAGGGTACATTATATTCTTGGAAAAATTCTTTCTACCTTACATATTTATATAAATATATTTAAAAATATATATATATTTTTTAATATATTGTATATTTTAAAAAAATGGCCTTTTTAAAAATTTTATTTTTAATTGAAAGATAATAGCTTTAAAATATTGTATTGGCTTCCACCATACATCAACATGAATCAGCTATAGGTATACATAGAAAAACTGCTTTTTAAAAAAGTACCAAGAGGAAATCATAGAATAATTTTCTCCCAACTTAAATTTTGGAAATTTTCAAACTTAAAAAAGTTGAAGGAAAAATGCAGGTAGTTAATACCCATGTACCCTTCACCTAGATTCATAGTTTGTTGACATCTTACCACATGTGCTTTATTCATGAGTATTTTTGTGATAAACCATTTGAGGGTTAGATCATGACACTTGACTCCATTTCTTATTCTTAAACTTAGCCCAGATCTCCTGAGAGCAAGGACATTAACCTCCAAAACCACAATACATCTTCCATATGCAGAAAAGTTAACATGAGACAAAAATACAGTACTCTCTCCCCAGTTGCCTCGGTAATGTACTTTTCTGTTCCCTCCTCGCCGTAGTCAAGGATTGTGATCTGTAGCTAGTTGTCCATTGTGGTATATATTCAGTCTCTTTCAATTTGGAATGGTTTTCCAGTCCCCACCCCCCGCTTTTTTTTCCTTCTGTGACACTTTAAGTACAGGCCTGTAGTTTTGCAGAATGTATTCCAGTTTGGACTTCTGTGATGGTTTCAGGTTTAGATTCCGGTTAAACATTTTGGGCAGGAGCACTCATTGATGATGTGCACTTTGTGCTTATCACAGACTCAGCTGATATTTGGTTTGGTCACTTGGTTAAAGTGGTATTCATATTTTTCCATTGTAACAGTACCAAGTATGGATTAATGAATTCCACTTTTATTCAGTCTGTTTTATTTTTATTTTTTTAAAGGTTTACTTATTTATTTAGTTGTGCCTGGTCTTAACTTGCCCTGTGTGGGAACTTTCATTGCAGCATGTGGGATCTAGTTCCCCAACCAGGGATTGAACCTGTGCCCGCTGCTTTGGGAGCACAGAGTCTTAACCACTGAACCACCAGGGAAGTCACCTGTTCAGTCTGTTTTAATCTATTTCTGTTGCTATTTTAATGTTCAAATTGTCCTAAATTTGGTCAGGAGGAGCTCTGGAGCTCTAAGCAGGTTCATAAGTCCCTTTGACTTATTTTTATTTATTTCTTTGTTTTCTGGAGTATTCCAGATATTCCAGGCTTTACATTCTCCTTTTCCTACCTCTCCTCTGGAATTGGCTCTTTCTTCAGAGTCATGGTTCCTTTTAGTAAAGGAAAAGTATTTGCCAGCCAAGATCTGGGGATTAGATGTTTAAAAATTTGTTTTATAATCTCTGAGAAGTTAAAGTCCCCTTGAGTAAAATTCAAAAGCCATATGGAAAAATAAGAATATGGAGCAAAATAATAAACTTCTTTAAAAAAATGGGCTTCCCTAGAGGCTTAGAGGGTAAAGCGTCCACCTGCAATGAGGGAGACCCGGGTTCAATCCCTGAGTTGGGAAGATCCCCTGGAGAAGGAAATGGCAACCCACTCCAGTACTCTTGCCTGGAAAATCCCATTGACGGAGGAGCCTGGGAGGCTGCAGTCCATGGGGTCGCAAAGAGTCAGACACGACTGAGCGACTTCACTTTCCTTTCCTTTTGAAAACAAAAACACCATCATAAGCCAAGTTGAAATAAAAATGACAAGTCGGAGAAAATTAATTTGAATTCACAATATGTAAATATCAATGGATACCTCATTCCTCTAATATATACAAATCATATTAAGTAAAAAGGAAAACACAGCAGATCAATAGAAGAATGAGGAAGGGATATCATGAAAATATTTATAAGAAAAGAAAGTATATATGGTTTTTAAACAACTAAAAGGTAAAACATCTGAATATAAAAGTGCATTGAAATGTCATTTTTTTCACTTACCAATTTCACAGATATCAAAAAACTTGGTAAAAGCCTCATCAAGTACTGTTAATGAGGCTGTGGGGGAAAAGGGACTCTTCATACATTACAAATAGGAGAGTAAATTGGATTGTAGCCATCAAATGTACAACCATGAAACATAATGTTATGTAGCCAGGTAAACTTGTGAGGAGAGCTCCTTTCCATTTTAGAAGAACATTAATATCTATTCAAACTAATAAAATCAGCTTTAAAAAATATTAAGCTGATATATTGAAGTAGAAAAAATTGAAGTAGCACAACATAAAGATAATTCTTAAGTTCTTGAAATCATTTGCTATTAAATGAAACTTTAGAGCCAAACTATCTGTATTATATTGCTAGCTCTGGCTACTCACTGTGTCATCTTAAAGCAAGTTATTTAACCCTCTCTATGCCCCCGTTTCCTCTTCTGAACAGTGGAGTAATAGCATCTACTTCATAGGGTTGTTGGGAAGATTAAATGAACCATGTAAATACAGTCTTTAAAATAGGGCCTGGCACATAGTAAGCACTCAATAAATGTCAGCTAATATCACCTAAGAGAATTTCTCTAAGACTGATGAGGAAATGCCAGATTCTTGATACACAGTTAATTATTGGGTATGGTTGGAGAATGGTATTTAGGTTAGTAGTGTTACCAGTGTTTAATGGTATGGAAAAAATAAAAAACTATATACACACACAAATATGTACACACACATTAAAACTGTACTGTGAGTATGGGTTTAATTTAATTGCTTCTTTGATTCAACCAGTATCTACATATTCATTCACCTGTGAAATGTTTATTGAGCACCTATATGTGCCAGGTGCCCCCTTAGGATCTTACAGTTATCCAATTTGTCATTATAATCATCAGTTTGCTGACTCAAGAATTCTAGTTCAGGTATTTATTTACAATAAGTAAGAATAACAGACATAATTCTTAGTGGCTCCCTAAGGCAAGTATTAAAACACTGTTGTTATTTCATTTCTAAAAGTATAAAGCCTGCACACATGCTTTATACTTAATATTTAAAACTTCCTAAGTTTTAAGACCATAAGCATATTATAATTTAAATGTTTAAAGTTAAATCTGAGTAGCTACAGTAATGAAATAGTTCTCTAGTAATAGTTATTAGTACAAATCATTAAAAAAAATTTTTGGCCAGGAATGGAGTGTAGGTATATTTTTAAACCTTGTTGTAAATGTGAGCTAGTTTATAAATTTAATAAATGCTTTTGAATATAAATCTAAAGATGTAGAATTTGTGTACTTACAATAATACTCAGGTTACTTTAAAGTGTATGTGTTTGTCTAACAGGCGCTTACAGCTTTTAGATGGGGAATATGAAGTAGCCATGCAGGAAATGGAAGAATGTCCAATAAGCAAGAAAAGAGCAACATGGGAGACTATTCTTGATGGGAAGGTATGGACTACTCAGAAGACTGAGCACGTTATAGTTATAAACTCCCATTTCTGATGTTTTTTTCCCCAAATGCAAATTCATGTTGAAAGGAATTCACATTGGAAGGAAGAGTCCTTTTTTTTAATACCTTGAAAAACACAAATCAAAATTATCTAGTCAGAGTATTTAATGGAAGGCATCATCCTAGGAGCCAGACCACCAGGTTCAAATCTCCACTCGTAGCTATGTGGCATCTGGCAAGTTACTTAATCCTGTGTGTCTCAGTTTTCTCATCTGTAAAGCAAGGCATAGAATTGATGAATTAAATGAAATAATTAATGAAAGATGCTTAGCACCGTGCCTGGCATAAAATAAGTGCTCAATAAATGTTAACTGATATTTTAAATCCCATTCATAGTAACAGCAGGTAACATCTGACTAATAATAAACTTAGCAGGAAATCTTGAAATCCTAGATGAAGCAGGCTTAAAATAACTTTTAAGATACTTAAAAATGGGCATACGTACATTTCTTGGATAGGCAGACAACAGAACCAGCGTCATTTGTTTCTAAATATATTAGATCAGTGTAGCAGCACAAGCAGAATCCTGAAAGGATTTTTTTTTTTCTTAAGCCTTAAAATTAGTCTAAAGTTAACCTAAAACAGTGTGTAATAGTACTACGGAAAAGTTTTCTGAGAACCTTTACTTTCCAGATAACAATAAAATAACTTAAATTTATGGTACAAGTATATAGACTAGCACATCACTGAAGCATAATCTTGAAATAGTTTTGAGTTTAGTCTGTGATAAAATTGGTGTTAGATCTGTGTGGGAAAGATAAACCATTATCTGTGTGACAGAATTGCTCTCTAGCCATCTGGAAGTAAATTTAGACCTAATAAATTCCAGGAGGCTCATAAATGTAAAAATTAACACTACATAGCTTCAGAAAAGACAGGTGAATATTAATATAATCTTGCTATTAGAAAAGCCCTTCTAGGTGTGATACAAAAGCTAGAAAGCATAAAATAACAACTAATTAAAATGAATCATTTCTATACTTTAAAAATTTTAAGTTAAAACCAAATGATGTACTGGGGCAAATATTTGTAACATACAGAAGGCTAATATGAATATGCAATTAATAAAAAGATAAGCAATCTAATTAGGAAAAATGGATAAAGAACAGTCTGACAGGTCTTAAAGCAACAGATACAGATGACTAGTAAGCTTTTTAAAAAGATACTCAACTTTACTAGTATTCAAAGACACAAACAAAATCAGATTAGTAGCTTTTGATTACTAGTTGTGACAACAGTTAAAAGAGGTTGACAGTTTCTAGTTGAAGATGTGAGGACATATATTCTCATAGAATGCTTTAAGTTAAGAATAAGTTGATACAACTTTACTGGAGGCAAGACTGACAATATAAATGAAAATTTTAATGGTGTATATAGTCATTAGCAATTTGATATAACAGTTTACATTTTACAATTTTGTCACAAGGTAGTAACTAGATAACTGAAAAGATCTAGGTAACAAGTCTTGCCTAAAATTTTTAAATAGTGAAGAATTGGAAACACCTGAACTCTTAAAATGATAGCCATTAAAAAGGGCAATATTTTGACAAGATTTCCATGATATTCAATTTTTACATAACACATACAACCACCTTTTCTAAAATTAAGCATAATAGTGGTTACCTTCAGGTGATGGGATTTTAAATAATTTTTATTTATATGTATCTACAGTGCTTGAATTTTCTGCAGGTATTTGGTATTTTTATGTTTCAAAATTTTTAAAGTCTAAATTTATCCTTGAGAAAATAGGATTATTTATGAGTTTCGAGGTTTTTCCAAGAAATTGAGACAATATTAAATTTCTTTTTTAAAGTTTAAGTTTCTTCATGAGAAAATAGAATTATTATATCATATAACGAGTATGAGTTTATATGCATGCTGCAGTCCATGGGGTTGCAAAGAGTTGGACACGACTGAGCAACTGAATTGAACTAATATATGAGCTTGGGGGTTTTCCCAAGAAATTGAGGTATCCTTTTAAGTCAGGTCATATAGATTTGCTTCTTTTTAACAGCTCTATGTTACTGTTTTAAGTAAATGTCCCATAAGTTGCTAAACTAATGTCACTTAAGTTGATAATTCAATTAATTTTTTTAACATTTTAACAAATGTTGTGAGTATACTTGTACTCACTTGTATGTGTATCTTTTTGCATTGCAAGTAGTTTTACAAGATAAATTCCTAGATACAGACTCACTATGTCAGAATTGGTTTATATGATTACCCTTTCACTTCACGTTGGTCTAAAATTACAGTTTTAAAAGGATTATTTGTAATAAAGATGTAGAAGGAGATTAGACTGTGTGGCAGTAAAATAGAAAATCATTGAAGATTTCTATCAAAAGGAATAGCATGAAAGCATCTTTGACAGAAATTACTTGGTCTCCTGAATATGGATTGAGAAGTAAGAACTAGAAGCAGAGAGATCAGCTGGGATACTGCTCTCTAGTAGTAAGATACTGTAGTAAGAATCTACATGTGGTAATTATATGAGAATAGCAAGAATAGGTTTCAAATGTAATTCTGAAATTTTTAGTTTAGGGTCACTGCTGCTGCTCCTGCTAAGTCACTTCAGTCGTTTCCGACTCTGTGTGACCCATAGACAGCAGCCCACCAGGCTCCCCTGTCCCTGGGATTCTCCAGGCAAGAACACTGGAGTAGGTTGCCGTTTCCTTTTCCTTTAGAGTCACTAGTAGAATGATAATGCTTGGGACAAAAATAAGTGTACTTGAGAAGAAAAGATAATAGATTCATGTCTAAACATATTTTAGTTCAGGATGACTTGGATATCCAAGTAACAATGTTTAGAGCTCTAAGTGTAAAGGAGGGAGAAACAATTTGGGAATAATCTAATAGGTAAATCCTTGAGGATAGGTGAGAGATTGGGGCTTGTGGCTAAATGTTAGCTAGGAATTAATTAAGGAGACCAAGCGAAGAGTGGTTTTGTAAGTGATTGGATGTGGAGGGGGAAAGCTTCAGTGTCCTAAAATTCAGAGACGCAAGGGCAGTCGTTAGTGAAGCTGAGAAGTCAAAAATTATTCATTGCTAAAACCATTCAATTCAGTCAAAAGTAATTGGTCGTCGTTAGAGAAGTTGCAAACTGGCAGGCTTTGGGTACCATAGTTTTTGTTTTTTTTTAAATTTGTTAGTTACCAGCAAATAAAAATGGGAGTATTTTTCATGAGAACTTAGTTAAAAACAGTCTGAAAATCTGGCTGTATTGGGCCAGTGTTTGTATGGGGAACCAGTTTAGCAATTGCCAGTCTGAGCCCTCTAATACTATATACAGTCTTTACTGCGCCTTACATTTATTATTTTATTTCCCTGGCTATCCATGTAGGCATTTGGGGGTTTTTAAAGGAAAAATCTGTTGATTGAAGTCAATTCCACATTAATATGTCATAATAAGTGTTTTTTTTTTTTTTTTACTCCTACAATTTCTCTCAATTCATTTTTTGGGATCTTCACTGTTTCCATGTTTTTTCTCTTTTAGAGACTGCCTCCATTTGAAACATTTTCTCAGGGACCTACGTTGCAGTTCACTCTTCGTTGGACAGGAGAAACCAATGATAAATCTACTGCTCCTATCGCCAAACCTCTTGCCACTAGAAATTCAGAGAGTCTCCATCAAGAAAATAAGCCTGGTTCAGTAAAACCTACTCAAACTATTGGTATGAAGACTTTGCTGTCAAAATAATGCTTTGTAGAGTTAGGACTTAGGTTTTAGATTAATTTGTCTTTTGCTCCAGTAATCTTTGGAAATACTATTTGACTTACTAGACACATTATGAGTAAATTACGGTTCTCCTAAAGTTTTGTGATGAAGTGCTAATCAACAGTACTTTATTCACTAGAGGTATGTGGGAATTTTGGAGATTTTTTATTTTTTAAATTTTATTTTTTTTAATTTTAGAATCATGGTATAATATATAGTATACATGCCATATATTACATACTATCTTCATATGAGGTCTATAGATAGCTTTATGTCAATTTAGGATAAGTTTTTCCATTAAATAAATTTGTCCCAAACTCATGAGAAAATGATTGGTTTTCAGAGCTTTGTAGTTTGGAATTGCAGCTATAAAGGGCTTTGAAACTATGTGCTTTTTCAAATTTACGTAGAAATTTGTTTATGTTATAGAACTGACTTAACCATTTAAGAATATTTGAACCATTTGGGGACTGGAAGAGGATTATTATAACCTGAATTTTATCAGGTTAAATTTTGTAAATTTTTAAGAGGAGAAACACTTACAAATTGTAGCAGTTAGCTCTGTTGGGTTAAGGCCCAGGTTGCAGCATTTCCATTTTTCATCTGCTTGATGAGAACACTGTCCTTGACCTGAGAGTATCCATGTGTTTTTATCTAAGACTGCTTAAGAAGGCAGAAGGGAGCGGTCTTCGACATACACCACTCAAGTCCGTCCATTAGCTGTGTGCAAGTCACGTAGTTAGAGTCAGTTTCAGGAGATGTAAGAAATGACACATGTCAGGGGAAAGATTTTCCAAGGAAATAGTAGTCTGGGCACTTCTCAAAGTGTTCTGTGGCCAAATACTAGTAAAAGAGTTTTCAAGAAACGGAGAAGAAAAGATTTTTACAAAGTTGTACATATGAAATGATTACTTATGTCAGGAGAAATACAAATTTTCATTTTTAAGTCAGTAAAATAATACACCAAAATTATTAATAATGATTATGTTTTGGATTTGGAATGATATTATTACAGTCATTTTCATTTAATTTCTGTTAAAGCAGTATTTAGTGGATGTCTGCTCACTGGTGTGCACTGGGAATACAGAGACCAATCAGAACCTTCCTCTGGCCTCAGGGTGCTTAAAGCAGTCCAGTGACTGTGCATAGCTACGTGGGGTTAGATTTAGATGTTTTAGAACATGATAGGTGTCCTAATGCTTTAGGACATTTTAATGAGGGGAAAAAAAGGGATCCTACCAGTAAAGACCTTAGTATCTGGTTAGGTTGCTGATAAAGGGATTGTTCCCCTGAAATCAGTGGAGGGTGAGAACAAACATTGTATTAAATGCCACAAGAAGAATTTTGTGAAACCTTTATTAATTATGTTCACAGCAGATATTATTTCACTTTTTAGAAGCAAGTATTTTCATTAAAAGTATATGTTTTCAGCTGTTAAAGAATCATTGACTACAGATCTGCAAACAAGAAAAGAAAAAGATACTTCAAATGAAAACCGACAAAAATTAAGAATATTTTATCAGGTAAACATAGCTGACCCTTCTTTTTTTAAGTAATCATGAGATACCTTTGTTTTGCACGTTCTATCTATCTGAAATAATTTGGCATATTTAAATAAAAAGAATGCCTCTGACTTGATTTTCCTTTTATATTGTTTTAATTATGTTTAAAGTTGATATTGAAACAAAATATCTTGAGACATGTAAGTTGGAGATGTGCTGTTCTTTTTGTTTTTTGTTATCTTTAAAGTTCCTTTATAACAACAATACAAGACAACAGACTGAAGCAAGAGATGACCTACATTGCCCTTGGTGCACCCTGAACTGCCGCAAACTTTATAGCTTACTTAAACATCTTAAACTCTGCCATAGCAGATTTATCTTCAATTATGTTGTAAGTAGCTTTTCATTTTTTTCACTACTATACCTTATGATACAATTTGGCTTTCAGAAATCGTACTTTGTGCAGAATGCCAAAGTTTCTACATTGAATGGATTGTTTATGGATGAATTATGGTGAATGATTCAGTGTTTGTGTATATTTGCACAGTGCACCTCTAATGACTCACATAATCCTCACCCCAGCTCTTTGAATTAAGTGGTAATTTCCTTATCCTTGCTCAGACAAGAAATAATTTGTACAGTTACCAAGCCAGTAAATGGCACAGCCAGGATATTAACACGGATCTTTTTGACTCCAGATCTTTTGGCTTCCTGTTCACCATGCTGGTATGCCTGGCTTATTTTAGTTTTCAGAACATTTTAAGAACCCACAAGTATGCTTTAATTAATTAAGTTGGAAGAATAGGTACTTAAGACAGGATAATTAATACTTTATTTTTCTAATCACCTTGCCATTTTTGTTGCAGTATCATCCAAAAGGTGCTAGGATAGATGTTTCTATCAACGAGTGTTATGATGGCTCCTATGCAGGAAATCCTCAGGATATTCATCGCCAACCTGGATTTGCTTTTAGTCGCAATGGACCAGTAAAGAGAACACCTATCACACACATTCTCGTGTGCAGGTAGGTAAAAAGGTCATGTGGCAAAAGTTTATTCTCTGACTTTATTGATGTTTGAGGGATAAAGGGAAGCCAGTTGAAACTACTCTTTAGGTGGCAGTTCTTATCAGTGTTAACACTAAGTCTCGGGTGGTACACTGCTTTGTAACCCTCGGTGGCTCCTGTTGTTACAGCGGTTTTCTCACTCCTCACAGCTTTTTCCTGTGTTAATGTGGCTACTGCTCTAGTGGTGATAGGGGGATTAAAGTGTCTCCCAGCAGAAATTTCTGTGTGCATGCCTAGGTAGAAACCTCTGCAAGAGAGGAATGTACACTGAGTAGTGTGAGCCCTCTCTGTTACTTAATATGACATCAACATTTCTTTTCATTAGGCCAAAAAGAACAAAAGCAAGTATGTCTGAATTTCTTGAATCCGAAGATGGAGAAGTGGAACAGCAGCGAACATACAGTAGTGGACACAACCGCCTATATTTCCATAGTGATACTTGTTTACCACTCCGTCCACAAGAAATGGAAGTAGATAGTGAAGATGAAAAAGACCCTGAATGGCTAAGAGAAAAAACCATTACTGTAATTATTACTGTTTTGTTGCTATTACCATCATCATCATTATTGACAATGATTTTACAGTTTTATGATGAATGATTTTGTTAGGAAACTAATAACTTTAATATGAATTAAATTTTTGATTTAATGTTGAGCATTTTTTTAAATTAAGGAATTCAGGAATTACAATTTTTGTAATTGTGTCATTTTAATAGTTACAAACTAAAGGAAACACAGGTTTTCTTCTTGTGATTTTGTGTTTTTTCATTTTATTTAAAGGCAACTATTTCATAACTAAGAATTTCCCTTTTAAAATTACCACTTAAATAGATGTTGGAAGCATTGCTGCTTTGCTATATAAATAAGTCATAGTAGTTTTAGTTACAAAAATTCTGTTTTTAACATTCTCACAATTTTTCTTAGAAATATCAATTATATTTATTCTGCACCTAATAGATTTTTTTCCCTCTTTTTTTCTAAAAGCAAATTGAGGAATTTTCTGATGTTAATGAAGGAGAGAAAGAAGTGATGAAACTATGGAATCTCCATGTCATGAAGCATGGGTAGGGTGTTTCTAGATTTAAATACTCCATTTCCTTTATGTTCTTTTTGTTGCTTCACATTCTGTAAATCTGTGTTAGGATCTTACTTAAAATTTAGGTATAATTTGTCCTAAAGATCCTAATTCAACTATTAGAAAAATGGTTATCTTCAGAGAATGTTTAAGTAAGGTGCTAGCTCCATCTAACAGCAGGTTTTTAGTTAATGATTTTTAATAACCCAGCTTTTATTCCTTTTATTGCTAGGGAATACATAAATAATATACCGTGTGCTACACAGCTGGAAATCCTGAAAACCATAACACAATTATTAACAAAATTTTTAACTGCTTTATTATTCAGAATAAAATATAAACAACTAGCTTTTCTGATTTCTTACTGCCATTCATAAAGCTGAGGGTAGAACAGTCCTGATTTCCTGTGCCTTTGGGGCTGAAGCGTTGGTTTTCCTCCTGTACCTCTGCTTCCTTAGGTGAACTATTTACCTGTCAGCGCATAGATCCTTCTCTACCTTCGCTAGTATTAGACCCTCAAATAGGCTTTCTTTTATAGCACATACATCTAAGGTTTTTTCCTTTAAAGGTTAAGTGAGTGCTCGCTTCAGCAGCACATATACTAAAACTGGAATGATACAAAGAAGATTAGCAAGGCCCCTGCGCAAGGATGACATGCAAATTCGTGAAGCGTTCCATATTTTAAAAAAAAATAAAAAAATAAAGGTTAAGTGAAATAAATGAGAAGGAGCGCTTTTTTTCTTTATTGTTGGGGAATGGAGAACTTAAGTGTTTTAAGTTCTAGTTCAAATGACCGGATGCATCACTTATAGCCTTTTTTTTGTAAACTGCCTTGAGCTAAGAATAGTCTTCACATTTTTAGTGGGTTGTAAAAAATCAAAGAGGAAGACAAGAGAGATTACATATGGCTTGCTAATTCGTTTCAGTCGTGTCCAACTCTTTGTGACTACGGACTATAGCCCGCCAGGCTCCTCTGTCCATGGGATTCTCCAGGCAAGAATACTGGAGTGGGTTGCCATGCCCTCCTCTAGGGGATCAAACCAACCCAGGGGTTGAACCTGAGTCTCTATCTTCTTCTGCATTGGCAGGAGGTCTTTATTTACCACTAGCGCCACCTGGAAAGCCCACGTATGGCTTGCAAAGCCTAAAATACTTACTGTTTAGCCTTTTACAGAAAATGTTTGCCTCATTCCTGGTCTAGTCATTAAAACTCAGTTATGAGTAAATATATATGTGGAGGCTTGGCTGTAATCTCTTTCTCCTTTTGTCCTAATATGCCAGTTTCAAGAGAGAATTTTAGTCAAATTACTTAATTGAGTTATATTTTAATTCCTGATCCAAATCTGTCAGCATAAGAACTACTAGGTTCACTATAGACTGGTATTACAAAGTGTCAGGTAGTTGGTAAACTCTTTGTATTTTTTCAGATCTGCAATCAGGCTTTTACATTTTACAGATTCTCTTTTGAGTCTCAGTGGGTAATTGACCATCCATCTCCTATTTGGTTTAATTTGGTTCTCTCAGATTTTATTCCTTGCCTTCCACCAAAACAGTCACCCTATACCACAGTTGTTGTGACATCTTCATTTTTTCAAGTTTACCATGAACCGAAAGTGTGTAGAAACACTGCTTCTGAAATAGGAAACAGAATAGTGTTATACACTTAATGAAAGTGGAGTGGCAAGAGAAGATATTTTACACTTTTAACTGCTAACTTCCTAATTTCATTAGGAAAAACAGAAATGACATCTGTTTAAGCTCTGGTTAAATTAAACCTCTTTAAATTTCTTAAAATGGTAAGTTCATTCAGGTGATTGAATCTCAGATTCACTGTAGTTTTACTAGTTAAATCATCACTTACCTAGATATAGCCTTATTGTCCTGTAATAGTTATCACTGTGGCCTTTGACAGAAATACTTTGTATTGTTGATGTGTTTGTGTTTTTGTTAAATAGGTTTATTGCTGACAATCAAATGAATCATGCCTGTATGCTGTTTGTAGAAAACTATGGACAGAAAATAATTAAGAAGAATTTATGTCGAAACTTCATGCTTCATCTAGTCAGCATGCATGACTTTAATCTTATTAGCATAATGTCAATAGATAAAGCTGTTACCAAGCTCCGTGAAATGCAACAAAAATTAGAAAAAGGAGAATCTGCTTCCCCTGCAAATGAAGAAGTCACTGAAGAACAAAATGGGACAGCAAATGGATTTAGTGAAATTAACTCAAAAGAGAAAGCTTTGGAAACAGATGGTGTCTCAGGGGTTTCAAAACAGAGCAAAAAACAAAAACTCTGAAAAGGCTTAACCCCACGTTATGGACAAACACTGAAATTTCATTCTAGGGAATTCAGCCTCTAGGATTTGTTTGTGTTTTTAATCATAAGTTCCAAACAGGCACTGTCAGATGAAGTAAATGATTTCAACAAGGATATTTTTAATCAGGGTTCTACTTCACTTCAGTATGCAGCATTACCCACATATCAGTTTTATTGATGTCATTAAAATATTCTCAAGCTGGAGCATGAAAAGCAATACCTTAAAGTATTTTTAACTTCAACAATTGTCTTATGAAATATACTGAATTGATAATCTAGAAATTATTTCATATTTATAATGTGTTGGGTTTTTTTTTTTGGCATTTGTGACTGGCTGTTTTTCTACTTTGTAATTGTGAGACATTTTCTTGGGGAGGGATAATTAGAATGTGATTCCCTTTTTTAGAATCTGAAGATTTCTGTGAAATTATGTTGCAGTACTGTTTGCAATCAGACCTTAATCCTTGACTTTGAAATCATTTATCAATTTGGAATGAAAAATTACAATATAAGGTATTTTACATTATGTGAGTTCATTTTACAATTTAAAAATAGCACTTCTTCATCTTACGCCTGTTTGAGAACATGTTAATTTTTCACATTTTTGTCGGTGAAATGTCAATGTTGGCTTCTAAGGTTACTGACCATCCATTTGTTTTTATGTGGATAATTTTAGTGCATTGCTCACCCAGTATATTTTTTTAAACTTGAACATTTTGCTGTTTTTTTTTTCTTCTTCTTTCCCAATTAGGTAATCACATGGAAGATTCAGCTGTCCACATCTGTTCATTAGGATTGTAAACCAAGGGAAGAACGAGTTTAAGATTTTTAAGATGCCACTTTTGAGGGAGGAAATGTTCTATAAAAATGAACCAGAAAATGATGTAACTTTTTTTTTCTTTGCAAGGATGTCTTCGTAATGTATTTCATGATTAGAATATCCAATACAGATAAGCTGACTTGAATCGTTCTGAGCAATTTTGCCCTGTGTTATATGTGTCTTATGCACATATTTACAGTTGGATTTTCTCCAACAGAAAGTGGTTTCACTACTGGCACATTAACAAGCACCAATAGATTTTTAGTCCAACTCCAAGCACTGTGGTTGAGTAACATCACCTCAATTTTTTATTATCCTTAAAGATAATTGCATTTTCATATTCTTTATTTATAAAGGATCAATGCTGCTGTAAATACAGGTATTTTTAATTTTTTTAATTTCATTCCACCACCATCAGATGCAGTTCCCTATTTTGTTTAATGAAGGGATATATAAGCTTTCTAATGGTGTCTTCAGAAATTTATAAAATGTAAATACTGATTTGATTGGTCTTTAAAATGTGTTTAACTGTGAGGCTATTTAACTGATAGTGTGGATGTGATTTGTCATCCAGTATTAAGTTCCTAGTCATTGATTTTTTTTTGTGTGTTGGAAAAAAAATAGGAAAGAGGGAAACTGCAGCTTTCATTACAGACTCCTTGATTGGTAAGCTCTCCAAATGATGAGTTACAGTAAACTCTGATTATGCCTCTGCATAGTGGATTTCGAGCATTTCTCTCGGGCTTTAATTTGCTAAAGCTGTGCACATATGTAAAAAAAAAAAAATAGATTATTTTAGGGGAGATGTAGGTGTAGAATTATTGCTTATGTCATTTCTTAAGCAGTTATGCTCTTAATGCTTAAAAGAAGGCTAGCATTGTTTGCACAAAAAGTTGGTGATTCCCTCCCCCAAATAGTAATGAAATTACTTCTGTTGAGTAAACTTTTTATGTCATCTTATAATAAAAGCTGAAAAAATCCCTTTGTTTCTATTTATGAAAAAAAAAAAGCTTTTCTATATGTACCCTTGATAAGAGATTTTGAAGAAATCATGTAAGATGATAAAGCATTTGAATGGTACAGTAGATGTAAAAAAAAAATTCAGTTTAAAAGAACGTTTGTTTTTACATTAAATGTTTATTTGAAATCAAATGATTTTGTACATAAAGTTCAATAATATAAAAGATGCATTGTTTTGTTTTTTCTTATATTATATGCATTGTTAATACACACACAAAAATTTTGGCTCGGCTAGGATAGGAAATATCCAAAAAAGTATATCCATCAGAGCAAATAAGTTGAGAAAATGTGAAATCCTGCTTTTAGTTCTAGTAATAGCAGTTGCAACTAGTATGTTATACTGTCACATAAAAAATATTTTAAAATTTATAGTCTAGGGTAATGTCAATATTAATTGCCCTAAGGCAATTCACCTTTGATTTTTTCATTATCTTTTGAATGAAAAAGAATTTATGTTGGCTTTCAAAAAACCATATAGTGAGACACAAATAATTATAAAATAATATATTCTGTGAGGTCAGTGGTTGAAATTAATTTAGAAGAATTGAAGAAAATGTTACTGAAGTGTTGACAGTTCCACTGTGCTTGGTTTATTTACAGGAAATAGCTTGCCTGTACACATGTGTGTTCTTTGAGCTGAGAGCCTCTGGTTCCAAAGCTCGCTCTGTTTCTTTAAACACGTGCTTCCTTTTCATTAGACTGCTGAGTCAGCCTCAGTGGCCTTAGTAGTGACTCATGGTTTTCCTTGGTGTTCAGATATTTGTAACATAAAACTGAAAGCCTTAGATGCCATGCTAACTAAGCATTTGGATTTCAGGCAATAAGTATTTGGAGACTTACTGCACAGACATGACACAAACCAGTCTGTGTCATAGGTGAGCCGTGGCTCCAAGAATCTGGGAGGGGAGAAGCTTTCCACGGGGAGAAGCACAGGGATGCTGCGGGAGTCCTCCAGGTGAGATACCCAACTAAATAACAGAACTCTGCCCATTGTGAGATAAGTGCCCAAGAAGACACCATGGTGTTTCAGTATGAAGAAATTAACCAGCAGTGACAAAGCCAAGGGAAGAAGAGTTTCATAAAGGAAGCTGTCCTGTAACGGAAAATGAATTTAAGGCAGCAACTTAAAGGGTAAAGTAACAGAAAACAGGTTTGAGGAGTTTAGTGTTAATAAATGGAAAATGAGTCAGAAAAGTTTCATCATGAACATGCAGGAAATGGGGCCATTGAAAGAGGAAACAGGCGGAGAGACTGGGGAGAGTGGATAGGAAGGTTGAGCCTGCAGACTGGAAGACACAGAAGACCAAAGATACGCATTACCAGAAAAGGAAAGAATGAGATCAGGAACACAGGTGGATTCAGCTTGCTAAAGATGAAAGACTGCTGACAATACTGTTGGTAAAAAACAGCGAAGTGGGTACTCATGACATTTCTGGTGGGGAAATAAGTTAGTACAACCTCTACAGAGAGTAATTTGGTACTTTCCATTAAAGTCATAATGTGTTTAACCTTTGCCCCAACAATTTCATCTTCAGGAATTTAATCTGACAGATAAACTGGGGCACATGTAAATTGACAAACTGACCACTGTTGAGCAGATTAGAAAGGTACAGAAGTTTCTAGAATACTTTCATTTTTAAAATTTTTAAAGAATATGTAACCTATATTTGCTTGGTTGAAAAATATGACAAAATGGATACACAAAAGCAACTGCTGTCAGGGAAGATGGCTGGGCGAAAGGACAGGAAGGAGGCTGTTCACTGCAGTTTTTAAATGTACTGCCTGTTTTCTGTAGTTCTTATATTTTAAAAACCTGAAAAAACAGAAGAGGGATGGTTTCTAAATGAGAACCAGGTATAATGGATAAGTTAACAAAGATTTGGAACACAGTCAATTGGTATTAAGTAAAACAGGCACTGTAAAAAATAGTCTGAACATTGTATTTGTATTTTTTGTTAATCTAAATAGTATGTCGCTCCAAGGAAAGCAGAGATACATGTTTTATTAACTACACCAGTACCATATTAAAATGGATCATTGATGGGTCCCAGTTGTTGACTGTAGATCACAACAAACTGGAAAATTCTTAGACAGGAATACCAGACCACCTGACCTGCCTCCTGAGAAATCTGTATGCAGGTCAACAAGTAACAGAACTGGACATGGAACAACAGACTGGTTCCAGATGGGGAAAGGAATACGTCAAAACTGTATATTGTCACCCTGCTTATTTAACTTACATGCAGAGTACATCATGCAAAATGCTGAGCTGGATGAAGCACAGGCTGGAATCAAGATTGCCAGTAGAAATGTCAATAACCTCAGATACACACATGACACCACCCTATGGCAGAAAGCGAAGAATTAAAGAGCCTCTTGATGAAAGTGAAAGAGGAGAGTGAAAAAGTTGGCTTAAAACTCAACATTCAGAAAACTAAGATCATGGCATCTGGTCCTATCACTTCACGGCAAATAGATGGGGAAACAACGGAAACAGTGAGAGACTTTATTTTGGGGGGCTCCAAAATCACTGCAGATGGTGACTGCAGCCATGAAATTAAAAGACACTTGCTCCTTGGAAGAAAAGTTAGGACCAACTAGACAGCATATTAAAAAGCAGAGACATCATTTACCAACAAAGGTCTGTCTAGTCAAAGCATGCTTTTTCCAGTGGTCATGTACGGATGTGAAAGTTGGACTATAAAGAAAGCTGAGAGCTGAAGAATTGATGCTTTTGGACTGTGGTGTTGGAGAAGACTCTTTGAGAGTCCCTTGGACTGCAAGGAGATCCAACTGGTCCATCCTAAAGGAGATCAGTCCTGAATATTCATTGGAAGGACTGATGCTGAAGCTAAACACCAATATTTTGACCACCTGATTGAAGAACTGACTCATTGGGAAAAACCCTGATGCTGGGAAAGATTGAAGGCGGGAGGAGAAGGGGACGACAGAGGATGAGATGGTTGGATGGCATCACTGACGTGATGGAAACACGAGTTTGAGTAAACTCCGGGAGTTGGTGATGGACAGGGAAGCCCGGTGTGCTGCATTCCATGGGGTCACAAAGTGTCGGACACAACTGAGCAACTGAACTGAGTTGTTGACAGAAAAATCATACACTTTCCCTCCCTGACTGGAAT